ATTTTAAAAACTTTGATCTGCGTGAGTTTCAAGCGAATTTAACGTGTATTCCTTGGAACAATATTTTTCATATCCTTAACTTAAATGACAAAGTTTGCTTTTTAGAACAAAACATTATTAATTTATTTAATATCCATGCTCCTTGTAGGATCATCAGGGTTAGCAAAAAACCTGCTCCCTGGTTGACTGACACCTTGAAAATAATTTTAAAACAGAGGGACAAGGCCCTTGCCAAATATAGAAATAATAAAACCCAAGAAAACTGGAATTACTATAAGGAAGCACGTAACTTTGCGCTGGCTTCCATTCGAAGGGAAAAAGCAGCCTATCTTGAACACTTGCAAAGGAGTAAAAATGAGAAAAAATTCTGGCGTGGTCTGAGCGATCTAAACATCAAAACTTCTACAGGTAATGAAAATGAGCTGCCGCCGAACTTGCAAGACCCAAATGTCATAAATGACTATTTTGTGAGAATATTTAACAAGTCTGACAACTGCATCGACCAAATTAATTACTTCTCAGGCAATAGATTCTCAGAAAGTGTTTTTGCTTTTACTTTGACTGACAGAGAAACTGTTCATAGTGTGGTTGACGGCATCAAGTCCAATGCTGCCGGATGTGACAATATCTCACTTCGAATGCTACAGCTCTGTATGCCCTATATTCTCGATCACCTAACCCATATTATTAACTGTTGTTTGGAGATGGGCTATTTTCCTGAATCCTGGCGCAAGTCAATCGTCTGTCCCATACCTAAAACACCGCATCCAAAATGTGTTCAGGAACTTCGCCCCATAAGTTTACTACCTGTGATTTCTAAGGTATTGGAGAGGGTTATTCATACTCAGTTATGCAGCTATCTTATTGAAAACCATATTTTGCCCGAACAACAGTCTGGGTTTAGGAGAAATCACAGTACAGCGACAGCTCTTCTAAATATCACAGATAATATAATACGTGCGATGGATAAAAAGCTTGCCGTTGTGTTAATAGCGTTGGATTACTCCAAGGCTTTTGACGTCATTGATCACGACCTGCTGTTGGCTAAGTTACATTACTATGGCTGTGATGAAATTAGTATGTCTCTTTTTATGTCTTACCTCTCGGAACGTGCTCAATGTGTTCGGGTCAACAATGAACAGTCTGATTACAAATCCATTATCTCAGGTGTGCCCCAGGGCTCAATACTTGGGCCGCTTTTATTTTTAATTTATACCTCCGATCTACCCAAAATAGTTAATCATTCTGACACTTTTCTATACGCCGATGATACTCAGATTGTCCACTGTTTTGGCCCTGATGATGTACGGCTGGCCTCGGAGTCGCTTACTGCTGATTTGCGGCAAATATCGCGTTATTCCAGAGAACATAATTTGCAAATAAATGCAAGTAAGACTAAAGCTGTTCTATTCGCGAACCGAAATCGGCGTGCTCAGGTTGCAGAATCTCTTGTACTAGAGTTAGATGGTGCAAATCTTACCTTTTCTAACGACCTTAGAAGTCTTGGTTTGAACATCGATACCTTTCTTAGATTTGGGGGGCATGTTGGTATGATTTTGCAGAAGTGCTACTTACGTATGCGTATGCTCTATGCAAACAAAAGTGTTTTAAATTATAAAACTAGGAAAAAACTTTGTGAATCACTTGTTTTGTCAATTATTGACTATTGCATGATTGTGTATTATCCTTGCTTAGATGGAGTTGCCAAGTGTCGTTTGCAGAGAGTACAGAATACATGCTGCCGTTTTATATGTAACTTAAGAAAATTCGACCATGTGTCGCAACATATTTATGACTTAAATTGGCTAAAGATCTTTGGTTTATTTAGACTGCAGTATCTGACTTTTTTGTATCGCTTACTTAAAACTCATCAGCCTAACTACCTTCACGAGAAATTGATTTTCAGAAACTTAATACATGATCGTCCTCTAAGATTTAATCTGCTTACGATTCCACACCACTCTACTGCCCTATTCGAACGATCTTTCACATATAACGCTGTAAGTCTTTACAATAAATATAAACCTGATTTATTGACTTTGTCTCTTAATTCATTAAGAAAAATGATAAAAACTATACTAATGGAAGCACAGGTTGCGTAGTGATGCTGGGATGTTTTTTTTTTTTTTTTTTTGTTTTGATTCTTTTGTTTCATTTATTCATATTATTTTATTACTGTTTTGTTTCGATATTTATTTCCAATTTATATCTTTAAGCACTGGCATAGAATTTTCTCCTTCTCTTTTTTTTTTTTTCCTTTTCTTGCATAAGATGTTAAATTAAATGTTATTTTATTTATATATTTGTTCTTATAATGTAAACTAAGAAGGTTAAGAGTTAAAGAATAGCTTAAAGCTAATCTTCGCCTTCTTGGGGCAAATTTTTGTAAAGAATTTGCTGAATAAAGACGATTTATTATTATTATTATTATTATTATTATATATATATTTGGAATCAGGAAGAAAAGATCTTTAATTTTATCGCATAATATACAGGGTGTTCCATTTAAAAAAGTTGAAGTTGCCTACGTCTCTTCATTTTCCGATGCGATTTTGTTTTTTCTGATACTGTCAAAAGAAAATATAGAAAAAAACTGTCAAGTTTTGTATTTAAATTTTTTTTCTATCTTAAATAGTAAAGGCTGTAGGTATGGTGCCAAATATAATCAAATACTCTGTACGCGTCAACCTATCAGCTGTCACATCTGTGGGTGGCTATTTATCTATTTATTTCTTGTTATATCTCAAGATTGAACATTTTAAAACATATAGTTTTGATTCTCTTTCATTTTTGATAAATAAAAAAACAAACTGCACAAACAAACAGATAATTATTTTTAAAATTTGACATATTTGACACTAAGACAGGCGTCTCACGCCATGATACTGGAACGGTACAAATCTAGTGCGTGGCGTCCCCGAGGTGCTCTGGAGCGCGCCAATGTGCATACTGGGAAAGCGGCTCAGAAAGAGTATTACTCCATAACTCAATCAGTGCACTATAATTATTACTCCAACCATTCGAGCACGGCTTTTTACAAAAAAAAGGGTAACTGCTTTTACATATGACTATAAGAAGTGGAGTTAATGTAGCTTAATCCAAAAAAATTGTTCTGGTGCAACTATAAAATTGAAATCCTAGCAAGTTACACCGTTGAGTTCGGTTCATTCACTCCAAATACTCCGTCTGTATTCTTGCCTCCTTTCACTCTAATAAAAAATATGGAATTTACACTATTTGCTCCAATATCCAAACCCGAAGAGTTTCAGAGTGAAGGTTTCAAAAAAGTTGCTATCATTTTTGAAATAAATTTTTTGGAGTACGTTCAATCCTGCTCCGTTTGCTCCGAAAACATACAGAATCAAAAAGGAGTATTATTCGTAAACGCGCTGCCGACTTTTTTACTCCAAGCTCACTTGTAAACGTTTGCTCTTTTTACTCTAAAATGGTCAAAAAACTGTTCCGAATCGGTGTTAGGCGATTTCATTAGTTTTAATATAGAAATAGGAGATTCTGGAGTATGCACTTTTAACTCTAATTTTGTTAGCTCAATGAGTAAGTTTATTTGTTTGCAACTTTTTTTTTCAATTCCCAAAGTTCCATTTACTCGCAACTCTGTATAACTAAGGTGATCATAGTTACTCTATCTACACTAATAATAAGCAAATTCGAATATTAAGAGTACTCAGAGAAGTTAGAGTTCTAAGCTTTTTCACTTTTATTACTCCAAAAACCCGAACAGAGTGAAAAGTTGTCAAAAAGAATACAATTCCGAACGACTTGCTCACTCTGAATACCTCGTAAACATTCTAAACGTTATTTCTAAATAAAATGTGATTCAAGAGCCTAGACTGGGAATTCTACTTTCATGACGTAAGGTTGCCTAGCAACCGTCTTCATCGCTTGTACTGTAGGAGATAAATAGGTCGAGGGTGACGTTGTGATCCCAGTACTTAAATAAAATTCAAACGACTGTAATACTCCATCAAAATGAGTATTTAAAACAGAGTAAATAGAGTACTCTACTACTCTATTCACACTAAAAAGCCATTTTCGAACAGTTGGAGTTATCGATTCGAATACCGTTTTGGAGTAAGACTATTGGCATTCGGCATAAAAAGAGTAGTTCCATTCTCAAAGTTTCAAGTGAACGTAGCGTTTTTGGATTGTTTCTTTGGAGTCGCGATAAATAGAATTCTATTCGTTTTGACGTAAGATAAAAACAAATGTCAGAAATAATGAAGTTACTGAAATAGAATTCTATTGAAAATAATTTGGGCTCTAGAAGTAGATATTTGAAATGTTGAAGTAGAGTCGGAACATTGTTCTTAGAACTGAAGTCACTCTAAAAAAGTTCTTCTTCAATAGAACATATTTTTTAGAGTAAATAGAGTAATAAATTGTCAGAGCAAGAATTGATTCTAATGTCAAAATTTTGACAGTTTCAAGTAAGAGCAGCGTTTTTAAATTGCCGCGTTCAAGTTGCGATTAATAGAATTCTATTCAAAATAATTTGAGTTCTTGGAGTTGATATTCGAACTGTTGGAGTAGAGTCAGAAAATTGACTGGTGTCAATCTAAAAAAAAATTCTTCTAGAGAAAAGATTTTTAGAGTAAGTAGAGTAATAATTATTAGTTCCAAGCTGTTTTCCCGCGGTGGAACTGGTTCAATCCGACTCGATTCGGTTCGAACCTGCTTTCATTCTTGCGTTGAAATAGTGACGTCACATTGAACCTGGTTCAAAAAAATTTGAACCGGACTCTTGGTTTGTTATCCGTCCATAAGTTAAAACCTTCCATTTTCTCGCGCTCACCAGTGATGACGTCATTAAAAAATTGCTTCCAACCGTAGTTTGAACCATTCGTCCTGCGAGAAAACGCCTTGTGGCCCTCCCGGGGTGCTCTAGAGCGCGCCAATGTGCATACTGGAAAAGCAGCTCTGGAGAGAATGCCTGCACTAAAATAAATCAATGACTGACGTTTGACAATTTTGACATTTCTGTCTTCCGGTTCAAGCACGTGTGTTTACTGTTTATGTACTACTACTTACTAAAATTTTTATTAAAATAAAAAGAAAATGAGCTTCAGTGAAAGTGCAGATGTATCCGAAATGGACGTATCAAGCAACGGAGGGATCAAAGAAAAAACTTACGAAGAAAAACTGGCCAATTGCACCGTAATTGCTAAACCAATGGCATCGAAAAAACTATCTAAGAAATGCTACAAATTAATTAAAAAAGGTAATATCACTATTATCCCAATATCATCTAAAACATTCTCAAATCAATTTCAGCCAGTAAACAAAAAACCTATATCCGGTGCGGTCTGAAAGATGTGCAAACCAGAATTCGCAAAGGGGAAACTGGTTTGGTTATTTTCGCTGGAGATGTCAGTCCTCTGGAAATTATGTGCCATTTGCCAGGAGTATGTGAAGAAAAAGATATTCCGTATGTGTACACGCCTAGTCGGAAAGATTTGGGGGCCGCTCTTGGGGTCAAAAGGGGCTGTTTGACAGTTCTAATAAGACCCCATAATGACTATGAAGAAGCTTTCAATGAACTCAAGCAGGAGTTGAAGACCTTGGCTGTAACATTATAATATGTATATTCTATTTGTTTAATAAAGATTTTCTTATGTAGGTAGTAATTTTTTGTTGTTTTATTTTTTGGTTGTTCCACTACTGTGAAGGATTTAATTTTGCAGTCATAGCTTCCTGCCAATCACCCATTGCTCCAGGTCCTGTTGCAGTTCTTCTTAAATTTCTAAAGTTATGTAAATTCAGATTTTTCCACATACTTCTCAGCTTGCCCAAAATTTAGTCATTTTGATCTGTTTTAATGGTCTTCCAGGTCAATTTCATCGTAAGGCCTGGTCTATTTTCTCACATTTCCTCTTCTAGCACTATCTTCATTGTATTCATTCTCTGAATGTCCTCATCATATTAAGCAATTTTTTGCAAGGATAATCAAGCATGATCGATTATGCTGGATCATGATCAAGAACAAGAACACATCATTTCTTCTGTGAGAATAGACCAAAAATCACCTTTTCCACATTTAAAATCGATGAAAATATTAATTCATTATCGAGGTCTGCGCGTGACTTAATCACTATAAGCTACTGATAGTGACGTCACGAGCAGGCCGAGCAAAATCAGAGTATGCTTGATTATCCTCTAGGGATGCCACCTTTGAAAGTAAGTTGAACACTTGAAAAAAAAACCTTTATTGAAAGAAAAAAAAAGAAAAATCTGCAGATCTACAAAATCTGATAACAGATGTCATTACACTTTATATTATTATCTGTCTATATACAGGGTGACAATTTGAAAACCAACAGTCGGGAATATCTCATGACAAAAAATACTATCGGGAAGATCTCAAATACGTATCGGGGGATTGGAAGGGGAACCAAACTGAGGCACTTTTTGAATCACCCCGCCTCACCCCTTAGGGGGTAGCTACCCTAACTTATTTTTTTTAAATACGAACCTACCTTGTGATGCACATCGTTCGATAGCTCATTGCTATACCTTTAATTGTCACCCTGTATATACAAGTCCCCTCGGCATCTACGAATGTTTCCTGACGTTGGGAAGAAGAAATGGACTTCCGTGGTATTTCACCGATGATATTTTCGGGAAATTTGTCCGAAAATTGGAGATTCTGGAAACAAAGATTCATCATGTACCTCAGAGCCACAGAAATTTCAAAAAAGGATGAAGCTACTCAATATGTCCAGCTTTTGACCTTAATTGGAGATGAAGGTATGCGTATTTTTAATACTTTCAAAATTGCTGAAGCTGATGAAAACAAAATTGAAAAATTGATTGAAAAATTTGATGCACATTTCTCGCCTAAAACTAATTTATCCTATGAAAGATATAAATTGTTAAAATGCAAACAGAAAGAAGGACAAACTATGGAAAATTATATTACTGAAATCAAGAATTTTGCTTTATCTTGCGAACTTAGGGACTTGGAAAGTTCCCTACCTACTCAAAGATATTATCATATGTGGCATTTTATCTGAATCCTTGAGAGAAAGACTATTGTTGGATGAAAATTCCACGTTGGATGACGTAATTAAAACATGCATCAATTCAGAGAAGACCGAAGAAAGAAACAAATACATCACAAATGGTTCCTCCGCCCATGGTTCGTCAGCTGATCAACATATTGATGCCATATCAAGACTCAGAGCCCCACCAATCAACTTTCATGGTCCTAAAAATAAGGGACAACAGAGACCGAAATGTGGAAAATGTGGATACAGCCATGGACTTCAACAGCGCTGTCCAGCAAGAGGAAAACAATATAGTATCGAGACATGGCCTTCAACATCAGAAATCCAGGCATCTGAGGTGAATGGAGTCTCAGCAGGCCCTGGAGGAGTGTCGTGGGCTATGGTACTGACAGTTGAACAGCAACACAACATCAATTTCAAGCTAGACACAGGAGCGATGGTAAATGTTATTCCAATTAGATTGTTGCATAAAATTAATTTTGATCCTGCAAAAATTGTTAAAACCCCAGTAACTTTGTGCTTTTATACGCAGGACCGTATTCCAATTGTAGGCAAAGTAGATCTAAACTGTAAACATAAAGAAAAATCATTTTTAATTTCATTTTTTGTCAATAGGTACAATGGAAAGTAGCATTCCAATTTTGGGTTTGAAATCATGTATTGATTTGAATCTTATTCAGAGAATAGATAGTCTAGAAACATCAAATACCTTAGCTCAAAGGGATAATAATTTGCAGTTATTGCTCAATAAATATAGTTATTTGTTTCAAGGTCTGGGTTGTTTAGAAAAAGTTTATAAAATTGAATTAAAAGGGGATGCAGTCCCTGTAGTTCATCCAATTAGAAAAGTTCCTTTTCCAATTATGAAAAAAATGAAGCATTCTTTAGATCAGTTTAGTACATCAGAGGGTTATAAAAAGAGTGAATGGAAGTACAGAATGGGTGAATGCATTTGTAATTGTGAGAAAGCCAAATGGAGACCTAAGAATTTGTCTGGACCCAGCAGATTTGAATCGATCAATCAAGAGGCATTATTTTAAAATTCCAACATTAGAGGAGTTGACTCTAAAATTTTCAGGTGCAAAATATTTTTCCACCCTGGATGCTGCTCAAGGTTTTTTACAGGTTCCTTTAGATGAGGAGAGTTCTAAGATGACAACTTTTGGAACGCCTTGGGGCAGATATTGTTTTTTGCGAATGCCATATGGGTTAACTAGTGCCCCAGAAGTTTATCAAGAAAGAATGAATGACATTTTTGGTGATATTGATGGATGTAGTATATATGCGGATGATTTAATAGTTTATGCAGATTCCCCAGAAAAACATGATAGAATTTTGAAAAAAGTCTTTGAAACAGCTGCAACAAAGGGCATCAGGTTTAATAGAAATAAATGTAATTTTTTTGTTGACAAAGTCAAGTATATGGGACACCAGGTTTCAGAGAAGGGATTAGAACCAGACGGTTCAAAGATTGAGGCTATTAAAAATATGCCTAGGCCCAGAGATAAAACTGATGTGCAGAGATTTTTGGGATGTATAACGTATATAGGAAAGTTCATTAAAAGTTTATCTGTAATAACGGCCCCCTTGAGAGATCTTTTAAAGAAAGACGTAATTTTTCAGTGGTTAGATGTGCATGAAAGAGCATTTTTGAGGTTGAAAGAAATGGCGTGTAAAAGCCCATGTTTGCAATTTTTTGATATACATAAAGTTACAACTATTTCAGTAGATGCTAGTCAAAAGGGTATGGGTGCTGTATTGATGCAGATGGGTAAGCCTTGTGCATATGCATCAAGATCTTTTACAGCAACTCAGCAAAGATATAGTCAAATAGAGAAAGAATTACTGAGCATTTTTTTTGGCATTGATAGATTTTCTCAATTCATATATGCTAAACATTTCATTGTGGAAACAGATCATAGACCTCTTATTCACATAATTAAAAAGCCACTTAACGAATGTCCTGCTAGGTTACAACGTATCTTGATTCAATTGAGGAAATATGACTTTGATTTGATTTATAAACCAGGAAAACAGTTGATTATAGCTGATACTCTGAGTAGAGCCTTTGAGCAAGAAATTTTTTTTTAATGAAAATCTGGATATTGAAGTAGAGGCACATGTATGTTTAATTTCTATGCAATTAAATGCAACTCAGGATAGAATTTTGGAATTAAAAAATATTACAAAGAAAGATAGGGACCTCAAAGCTATCATTGATTTCATAAATAATGGCTGGCCGAATTGTTATAAAAAGATACCAAATCACTTAAAATTTTATTATAAAGTAAGAGGTGAACTTAATGTCATAGATGGTTTGGTGTATAAGAGCCAAAAGTTGATTGTTCCTAAAGATAGTAGAGCTCATATCTTGAATAAAATTCACTATAGTCATATGGGAATAAATAAATGTCTGTCTAAAGCTCGCCTTTCTTTTTTCTGGCCAGGCATGAATAAACAAATTCAAGATATCATCATGCCACTTGTGTCAGGCTTATCAAAAGAGTCAGATGCCTGAGCCTATGACTTCTCACGGGTTTGATGAGATTCCGTTTAGCAAGGTTGCAGTGGATATTTTTCATTTGTTTAACGAGTCATATCTTCTTTTAGTTGACTACTACTCTAAATTTGTTGATGTCATGAATCTAAATAGGGATCTTTCAAGTTATAATGTAATTTGTAAATTAAAATCATGTTTTGGACGGTTTGGAATACCAATGACTGTCATGTCAGATTCAGGCCCTGAATTTGCTAGTTTTGAGTTTGCTAGATTCGCTAAGCAATATGAATTTAATCACATCAGAAGCTCACCAAGATATCCACAAAGTAATGGTGCTGTGGAAAGGGCTATTAAAACTCTAAAATCAATATTAAGAAAAAGTATTCTGGACAATAAAGACCCCTATTTGGCTCTCTTGGATTATAGAAATACTCCTATTGATGGTCATAATACACCTGGTAACATTCTTATGTGTAGAAATCTTAGATCTTTATTGCCCTTGCCCAATGCTAAATTTAAATCTAAAATGTATCAGAAAAACAAATATTCAAATTTCATTAAAAAATCTCGAAACAATCAAAAGTTTTATTATGATAAAAAAGGTACCAGAGATCTTAGAAAATTAGACTGTGATGAAACTGTTATGATTCAATTAAAGCCTAAGGGCCAATGGCAGGAGGGTAAAATTAATAGAGTGTTACCCAACAAATCTTACCAGGTTGTCTTGAGCAATGGAAGATCATATATTCGAAATCGTAGATTTATCAGACCATTTAAAAAGCATAATTTTGACAACCAGCAAAAACTTCCTGATGAAAGTATAAATAATTCATTTCAATACCCAAATTACATTGCAGTTCATGAAGATAATGCAGAAAATATTAATAACGAGAATATTGATCAAGACAATGGTGACGAATTTTTTCAACAACGTAATTCTGATTGTGAATCTGTTGAACCTCAAACGACTAATCCAAATAAATTTGGAATTTGCATGCCTAACTCAGAAGCTAGAGGACACCTAGCAAGTAGTGCAAAAGTTTCAGAAAATGACGTTCTAGAAAATAGTATTAATAGTAATAGTGATGTCTCAAATGTTTGTAAAAGTGATCATAGCTTA